TTTGAATTGTCAGTAGAAATGTCAGAATAAAATTTTGGCGGCTGAATTTGGCATGCCGTCATGGCTTTTCTGTCGAGCCAGTCTGAAAATTCTATTAATTTAAAATTTGGAGAAGTCTTGTCGGAAATGTATTCGGTCCACATCATTTTATATGAGTTAGGTAATTTATTTATAAGTTCGTGAAGGAGAATTGGATTCTGTAAGTGATCTTTAGCGTTTAACGATTCTATAGTTCCAACAAGATTTTTTACTTCGTCAGAAAAATTAATCAGCATGTCCAGACGATCGTCTTTTACTATAGGAAAGTACTTTACCTTATCTACTAGCATTAAAACAATATGTTCAGGTTGTCCGAATCGTCGTTCTAAAATATTGATTATTTTGTCGACATTATGGGGCATAATCAATAAACTTTGGACAATTTTAAGCGCATTGCCTTTAAGAGATTTTTGTAAACGACAGTGATTTTCTTCTTGCGAATAGCCACATAACGCCGTAGAGTGTTTAAACTGATAAATAAAATTTGGCCATTTGATAGGATTTCCAGTAAAATACGGCAAATCCTTTGGCATCGATGGTCTGGTTAAAATTTTAGTAATATGCGCAGGTGTTATTTGACTATGGGCATCATCAACAGGATTTTTTGAAAAAGATTTTGGTACAGTATTTCTTACCTCATTTATCGATTTCTTTAGTGTATCCTTGGGACACAATTTATCTTCCTGCCATGGATTGTCTCCTTCTAGCCATTCATGTATGTTAGGACGGCTAATCATGGACTCACCCTGTGACTCAGACTCCTCTTCACTTTCTTCTATCATTGCTAGTCTCATAGCATACTCCAGGTCAAGCAATTCCTGTTTCTTTTTGAGTTCCTCTTGTTCCAATTCTTTTCTCTTCATAGCAAACTCTAATTCAATTTTTCGTCTTCTTGATTCAGTAGTCTCATTAGTCTTCTTAGTGTTTGCTTTGCTTCTTGCGCCACCAGTACCTTTTGAACCCCGAGACTTCGGCGGCTCTAGATGTGTCGAAAGTTCTGGTTGCGTCGTATTAGTAGGTTGTCTGTCGTCTAAAGTAGCGTCTTTGGTATTTTTGTTGTCTAGATTCTTTGCCTTTAGACGTTCACTCCTTCGTAGAGACATTTTCCACAGTGTAGTTCAGTTTAGACGAGAAGGACCATATGTAATATTTACCTGTAAAAGTCTTATTAGATCCCGGCCGAAGAACCGTTTTCTCTAATATTTTTTATTTTTTAGAAAAAGTAATGTCAGCTTGATTGATTTTTTATTTTAATTTTTTTCACCGTCTACCAGATTTTTTTTACAATGTCATTAAACTAACTACTAACACTCTAACTCTTAGTTACTACTTAAAAAAATTGGAAACATAAAATAAAATATAACATCGATATTTACTAATCACCCTGCATATATTATACCTAAAATATTTAGATTTATCATTAAAATATTAAATATAGACATAATTTATTTTGAAATTAATATTTTCAGCTTCTAGAACAATAAAAGTAATTATCAAAAATATTTCCTTACTTATTTGCGACAATATTTTTTACTCATGTGTATATTCGTGGAATGCCATAAGATATTATAATAAAATTAGCTACAAAAAATTGCAATTGATTAGCTTTCTCCTGTAATAACCGGTAACAAAAAAATGGGCATTTCTTAAGTTTAAATAACGTCCTTCTATCTCAAAAACCTATCATATTTTTTGGGAATATATTTTCTACAGAATGGTTGATACACCATTAAAGAAACACCTTTACAGCACTAAAAGTACAAGACGAATTATCAAATTTTTTTGATATATTCGATAAACTAACTTAATATATCTATTAAATCATCATGTAATCAATAAATTGGATAGTTATACAGATGTTAATAATATAACAAATACACAAAAGTCAACTCACATTCATTAAAAAAAATCGAATCACTGTATAAATGGCACCTAAAATATTTTGTATTATTATTAATAATGATAAATATAGCAATAATTAATTTTTTGTACATATTTTCAACGTCTAAGACAATGAAAGTAATTATAAAAAACATGTCCTTACTTATTTACGATTCACCCTGTAGAGACAAATACTTTTGGACTCCTGTGTATATTCGTAGAGTGTCAAAGGATGTTACAATAATATTAGTAACTGGTAATAAAAAAGGATAATTTTTTAACTTTAAAAACACCCTTTATCTCAAAAACCAATCATAGAAAAAGCTATAATTTTGGAAAATATCTTCTACAGGATGGATGGTAAGCCAGTGAAAAAATATGTATACTTTTATACTACTAATCAAAAAGTATAGGGTACTTAAAAAAATATTTTTTTGACACATTCGATAAATTAACTATAAATATATTTATTAAATCACCCTGTAGTCAATAAATTGGTTAATTATACATATGGTAAATACACAAAAGTCTTGTAAAATTACTGTGTTTTACATTAATACTTAAAAAATATATTGGCCTATGTCGATATTTACGAATTACCATGTATAAATATAATATCTTTTGTATTATCATTGGACATGATGAATATAGCAAAAAATTATTTTTTAGTAAATATTTTCACCTTCTAGAACAATAAAAGTAATTATCAAAAACATATCCTTATTTATTTGTGGCACACTTTGTAAAGGAAAATAATTTTTGACCCCTTTTTATATTCGTAGAATATTATAATCGAATAGCTTTTTTCTGAAATAACCGTTATCAAATAAGTGGTATTTCTTAAGTTTAACACCTTGTATCTCAAAAACCAGTTATAGGATTTGAATGGTCCCATGGATACTATTGCTAAAGAGGTAGAGATCTGCAACATATCAAAAATTTATTACATTAAACAGGTCGCCACTTTTCCACAAGCGGTGTGCTGGGTCTTTTTGAGAAAGTAAAATTAATTTGTGACCACTCTGTACAAAATGTAAAAAACTTGGTTTAAAAAAATCTTTGGTCTATTAGCTTTATACATTTGTAGTTTATTAAATTCTAACGTTAAATTCGAGAGAGCACTGCATATTTTAATAGGCGTCTGAAAATGTAATATTTTCGCAAAAATCTTCGAAAAGGGTGGGATGTTAGAAGCAATATTTTGTAGGTATATATGTAGTAGTGATTATAGAGTATCTAAAAAAACAATATGTGATTTTCCTAACTTACTATTGGGCCACCCTACCCTGTACACAAGAAAATAATTTTGGATATTTGGTTTTGACCACTACCGACAACTATACTTCAAATAAATAGAGTTATAGAACTAAGACAGCGGTTTGACCAACCTTGTATATATTCATATTTTCAAAATTGCAATGATGTATGTTTAGTGACTTAAGTTGAATCTTTTTGTAATTAATTGCAATTTTTACCTAATTTAGACTAAAATTTGTATTGCACTCAATAGAAATTGCCGCAATTTTACTCATAGCAAGAACAATTCCGAACCGTAAAGTGGCTTTGCGCGTTTATTCGCTGTCTCCTTAATCCACCTCTGTAACCATTGCTGTAAATATCGTCTTACATTACATCAAGGCCAATGTGTTATTTGTGTTGCCTATCTACCTAGGTAACGAAACCGGAGAAAACCTAATCATTATGCGGTGCCGACTATTTCTCTTGTATGCTAATAAATTTAATGACACAATTAACTTAATTGGTTCCATTAATTTTTTATTACTGCCTGCACACCTACTTTTAAGTGTTTAGATAAACGCTGCATTTCTTTGCATACATAATATCATTAAACTAATGAATTAAAGGCATGTAACTAAATAAATAAAGATGAATGACCGAGTTAATAGCCACCTTTTTTGTTGAATTTAAAATTGTTGACACTTTGGCATGAGGAATTCATTTTGTTGTTTTTGGTGAATGCAAAAAGTTTTAATTTTGGTGGACGAACCAAATTCCTGAAAATTAGTCTAAAATTATTGCAGTAGTTGGTCAATTCAAATTAACGTTAAAGTAAAATTAATTTATAGCAAATTTTTATTAAAATTTCAATTTAATACTAAATATTTTTTAAATAAAAATATTTACAAAAAACAATATTTTATATTTTGTTGGTTCCAAAAATTATTTCTAAAATATTTAAAATACATAGATGTATTTAACGTCAAATTGGTATTTTACAGCATATTTATTTTTAAATTCCCATTTTATACCAATGTTTACATCCCATTCAGAATCAATATGCTTCATCTCCTTATAAAACTTAATTTTTCCTGAAGATTTCAATTTGATATCATTTTTGTTTCTGAGTTAGAATTTTTTTTAATATTTCAACGCCCCCTTATCTCTCTCTTTTTCCTTTATAGTACTTGATTTTACCAATTATTTCATGTTGATATCGCTTCTGGTTTTTTATCATTATTTGTTTTCATTTGCGGTACATCACCTTATACCGACCTCTGGTGGATTTTTTATATACTATGTACTGTTTGGTGCCTTATTTTAAAAAGAGTTGAAACACCTGTAAAATGTCATTCACTGGGATTTTGGTATAAAAAATTTTAAATTTGGACCAATATTAAAAATTTCGGTTTTTTGAAAGTAAACCTATAATACTCTTCACAGACTACTGTGTAAAGAGTATAAACAGTTTAATACATTATATTTTATTGAAAAATTTTATCTAAAATATTTAAATACTTATTTTCTTATTTAACAATTAAAATAAACGTAATTATGAGTCTTTATTTATTTTATTACTAACTGAAAAAATGTATATGGTGCTTGGTATTTGGACCAAAATGACAATTTCATAATAATGACTACCTTCCACAGTCTATCAAAAACATGTTTCTACAAAAATAGATGTTTACTTTAAAATTTGAATGAACTGATTTTATTTATTATATTATTTAATTACCCATTATCTATAATCCAATAATTATTTTTGGTTCATTCGCCAAAATTAAATATAATTTTTTTAAAAGGGTTTACTTGTTACAATAACGTTGTTCTTTTTATAGAAGAGTGGGTTAGCAAAAAGAAAACCGAAGTAACAAATACCAAACAAATAGAAACTCGGGTAAAGAGACAAGTCGTTCTCGAAGATGGTAAGGTCGTGGAAGATACTGGACCTATGGTCACGACCAACACTACAGAGGATACAGATACACAAGAACATCATCAAACAGAGGTAAACTATAGAAACATATTAATTTAAAACTTGTAGGAAATTTAATCAATTTAAGGGCGAAGACGCACTAGAGCGACCACGGCTGGTCCACAGCCACCTCTACACCTGTAGAGGTGGCGGTGTAGAGGTGGCTGTGGCTGGTCCTAGACTACCAAATTTAATAAGAATAACAGTGTATTAAGGCGCACTGTGAATATGCGGCCAGCTGGTCGTATCTAGCGCCCGTAGCGGTCACGTCAAATACTGTACGCGTTAATACACAATAGCTCCTTGACAATAGCACATTGAGCTAGACCTGCTAGAGGGTAGAGAAACATCCAAAACAGGATCACTGTGCTGGCTAATAGCAGCGGGGCTTGTGCGTATCATGCTGTGGTCAAGTGGCTATTGGGTTTACGCGTTACTTGCGTTTAAGTTAATAGAGTTTATAACGTGTACTACTACCGAGTCCGACTCATTAGTTTATTAGTTAAAATTCTATAAAAATCCTAATTTGGGATCAAACATTATGAACATATCGAAGCAAGATGTTTTTTTATATTTTAAGCTCATCAGTAAATAAGTTGAAGTGCTAATGGGTCTAGGTTGGATGAGGAATTCACTTATTATAGGTAATTTTTATCATACAGGTCTATTTGTAATACAGCGTGGTGTCCAAGCGAAATGTTACACATCAGACCTGTCTCAAAAACTTTAGACACAACATGTTTTAGACTAAATTAAGTGCGTTCGCGGTTTTCTAAACTCCACCCGAATCTCTCTAGATGTGTAGCTATGGTTTTAGTATATTCTAGATCAGTGTTTTCATGAAATTTTTGAAGTTAATGGTTCACGACAACTGATAATGACTGGCATAAGCGGATAGGAAGACACCTTTTTTGCTATGGAAGAAATTATAGATGCCAAATCATTTAAAAATAAGATATGTTTTCGTTTCCAAACTCTTACTTTCTATTTCTTGTTTAAGCTTGCCTTTTTTCCTGTCGTTTCAAATTCACGATCTTCTATGTCCCGATGTGACTCCGAGTTTTTTAAACATTTTTTAACAATTTATCCTGACTTCCGACACCAATGTAATGCTTATTGAATTTAAACTGTTGAATATTTAATTTATTTACCCTGATTTTTATCACAAACACTTATACAGGGTGTTTCAGAATAAAGTACTGTAAACAAATCTTAACTAATTAATAAGAAAAGTTAAATATAATTTTCCTGTAAACGTCCCAGTTTTTATTCTACAGGGTGATAAATTGAATTTTATAAATACATAATTTTCTAAATATCCACTACGGTAAAGATTTTAAGTTGAAAATACGTGTATGTTAGTTAATCGTCATTATTAGTTAACACACTTTATTTCGATAAATTACTATAACCCATTGGCATAGATCAAAGGGTTATGAAAACAATTTTTATCCATATTTATTTAGAAAATTATAAATTTATTAAATTTATTTTATCGCCATGTAGAATGAATATTGGGACGTTATTTAGCTTTTCCTAATAATTACTTAAGATCTATAAAGCCTCCAGTATACGGTAGTTTATTCTGAAACACCCTGTACAATTTAACAATACCTTTTCTTATCACATCAATATCTAACCAATTATATACGGCATCTTCAACGGCGAAGCAGATTATTTACACCCAAATGTTACACTCCAGATCTATCTCGAAAAATTCTAGGCACACCTTCATTCTTATCTAGACTGGATTAACTAAGAACCTTCGCCATTTTCAAGAATCAACCCGAATCTCTAGATGTCTCCTTATGGTTCTAGTATATTCTAGATTTACATAATTCGTTCTAATCGGAAAAGTGGAGGCTGTAAAAGGCCTAAGTGTGGTAGAGAGGGACTTACGGGATTAGAGCTTTCACGACAATTATCAGTATTAGTTAATCATTTCCCTAAACATATAACTTTTCCAAAACGTTTTCTCTTATCCACTTATCAATAAGACTTTTATTTTTTTTTTTTACCTTAAAAATCACTGTATATTAGTGTTTTCATTTGAGATCATTAAAATGGTCAATGGTCACCCATGTAACGGATAACAGTTTTATAGAATATTAACCATAGCAATAGTTTTTGGAGCAGAAACAGCATATTGGTTTTAATTCTTAAATAATTGGCAGATACGGGGTACAATAAGCCGTATCCAACGTTAGCATGTAATTTCGGTAATATTTATAATAACCCGCATCGTCATTCTTAAATTAAAAAAAAACAATGAACGATAAGGGATATTTGCAAAAAAAACTATTATAGTTCAAGCTATTCTAGTCGAGATACGACACCCGGAAAAAAATTACTATTTTTCTTCAAACGTCTGAAAAGCTGACATTTTACCTACATAGGTACTCATCACAGAAGTATTACTTTTATTTCCAATAAAACACTAAGTACACTAGTATCATTTTAATATTCCATTAGTATAAAAATTCAATATCTCCGGTACTATTAGAGATTTAAAAAAATGCCTCAGAATTATTTTAGAATATATAGTGTGCAACAAATCTGTACAGGGTTAGTCAAAACTGAAATACATCATTTTCTCTTTTCTTTTTGACCGCACTGTTTATTTTACCAACTTTATTCTAAGTTTAGTTAATGTTATTTTTGCATATTTTATTTAATTAGAAAAATTATTATTTAAGCAAGCCTTAAAGATCCGACTTATATGTCAAAGCATTGCCTAATTAGCACTTAAAATACTTCTCTTATTCATATTTCGTCTCATAAACAGTATTTGTGTAATATGTCTTAGAGGATACCAAAAGCATACACATATCTAATCAAAAAAACTAAAATATCCCTTGTCTGTCATTTTTCATTTATATGCATATTTAAAGCATTATGAATCAGTTTATTTATGTATACATATTCGACTGTGAGATTGAACAATATACCAATTATGACATTGGATATTTATGATTTATATATATATATATATATATATCTAGCTACGTGGCATTACTGGGACTCCATTCCATAAATGGCCTACCTAAACTCCACCGTATATACGCCATTATATACACCGTTATTTGTAAAGACTAATTCAACCACCATTAGTTGGATAGGTCAACGTAACGTCCACTATATACATTTGACATATGTTTTAGAGCTGTTTATGTTAATGCGCCTCCTCTAACTAAATAAAACGTATTTACTGAGCCTCCAAGCAATGTTGCCACTTTTTATTAACTTATGTAACCTAAGGATAAAACAACTCAGACAGTCGGACCACATGTTTTAAGTTAAAATAAATATTATAAGCATCATACAGGGCGGGACACCGGTATCGCCTTGATTTGTAGAGCCAAAACTATTATATTTTTTCAATCTATTTTCACAGCGAAATATACAATAGAGAAGGTAATAATTTAAAAATAATTTTTATCGTTCTGGGTTCTCCAGGAAAGTGATACATATCAAAATTACATTTATTTAACATGACACCTTGTTTTTTATTTTATATTTGAATTTGCCCCGCTTTTCCCATTATAACAATACCAAATAGTATGTGATTATACAGAGTATTTCATGCGTTATAACCAGTTTTATATGAAATTTGTATTGATTTTAATGACAATTCATTTATCGTGTTTACTTTTTAAGGGTGATATCTCAGAAAGGAGTGGGCTGAGAAAATTTTGTTATAGGAAAGACCCATCTTAATTTCATACGAGCAATCACCTCCTGAATTTTGTTGCATGAATTTAGAAACACCCTGTATATCCATATAATACGACTGGGCCTCCCGCCTTGTTAATTTTTAGGTTCACTGAGACTCTGCTGTAGAGTCCTTATATAAATTACAGCGGAGTCTCAGTGAACCTGAAAATTAAGATGGCTGGAGGCCCAGTCGCACTCTATAGAAATAGCGAGAGATATACTTTGTGTATATTAGGGACGTATATTATAGTACCTTAATATATATTTATATAGGACAACAGGTCCATAAAAAATATTTATTTATAAAAAATGCATGAAAAATTAAAAACAAACACGTAATTGTAGATTTTTGAAACATGTCTATCATATTTGCACCAAAAGTCAAGCCGTAAAAAGAAAACTAAAAATTCAAAGTCCTATGTAGCAAATAAATATTCAGCACTTTTTTGCGTTCATATTACACACTTTTAGGTACTGTCACTATTAGTATCTTCAGAAGTGAACAGAGATGTGAACTGGTAAATTACCGATAAATTACCGTGGTAATTTACCGTAATTAACCAGAAATAAATTACCGTAATGTACTCGTAATTTACAAAGTAAATTACCAATTTTTGTGGTAAAAAATTTACATTATTTACCATAATCAGATATGTGAACTGGTAAATTACCGATAAATTACCGTGGTAATTTACCGTAATTAATCAGAAATAAATTACAGTAATTTACTCGTAATTTACAAAGTAAATTACCGATTTTTGTGGTAAAAAATTTACATTATTTACCATAATCAGATATGTGAACTGGTAAATTACCGATAAATTACCGTGGTAATTTACCGTAATTAATCAGAAATAAATTACAGTAATTTACTCGTAATTTACAAAGTAAATTACCGATTTTGGTGGTAAAAAATTTACATTATTTACCGTTATTTACCATTATATACGGCATTTTCTTGTAATTTACCATATTTCGCGAAAACGACGCCGAACTTCGGTGAAAATAAGCATTGGGTAACTGCTCTTCATTAAAACTTCCCTTAAGGCATCAGTTATCAAATAAATTACTAAACACTGAATATGATCGTGAAAAAAAGTCCCTGAACGAAAAAATTCATACTGCTAACACGGTAGGGATTCAAATTGATGGTTGGTCTAATATTCACAATGAATCTATAGTCCTCCTTACGGTAATTTCAAGATTTTGTAACTGAGGAATTGTTTGTTCTTAGTTTTTGATGGTATGTAGGTACTTTTTTAAATAAAACATAGTAATTATTTCAAGTTGAAGTTTTATTTTGTTCGGATTTTTAAAAATTTGTCCGGAATATTCATTAGGAATATCAGGAAATTGTATATTGTAATATGGTAATCCTATTCTTACCATACCTGAGCCTGTGTTATATAAAATGGTAGATACGAAAGCAGCTCGTCATGAAGCAACTTTCATGTGCAACATTATATCCGAATTAATTGATGAAATAGGCTTAGAAAAAAATGTCAATTACAACAGAAAATGAAAGAAACATGATAGCTAGCTGGAATTTACTTGCAGACAAGTATTGCCATTTATAGATCTAACGAAGCCCTATTTGCTAAAGATTTTGTATGGACCAGTCTAAAAAATGGAAAAATGTTAGCAGTGACTTGGTGGAAATCGATTTGTTCAACAACAAAGTTAAACAAAGTAGCTGTAGAAGTATTAAACTGCCCACTGTCAACTGCTGCCACAGAACAAAGCTTATTAACGTATGGAAATGTCAATACAAATAAAAGGAATCGACTAACAAATGTTTATATCAGACAAAATTTAAATATAGCGGAATGTTCATCCGGTTCATTAAAATTTTCTTTGGAGTGTGAATCTGAATATGAATCCGACTGGTCTGAAGTAGATAGCGAAACTGAACTAAATAAAATAGTTGATTTAGAGATCTCATTTAGTCCAGCTCATTGTGAAATGCCAACGTAACATATGCATAATATAATTAATAAAACATAATTCTTATAAAATTTAAATAAATTTTCTTATACAAAGTACGAGGAACTTAAGTTTTATTTCATTTGATGTTTTTGTTTTCTTACGCGTTTTATATTACTTAAACCTAAATTTAAATTATATTTAGTATTGAACAAATAATTCTATGTTCGACACAGACACACACCTTAATTTCATTTCGAAGTCAATATTAGTCATGTATGTGTATAAAATATATTACGGTAAATTACCACTGTAATTTACGACAAAAAATTTATTACCGTGGTAATTAATTTTGGTAATTAAAACCCGTAAATTACCACCGTAAATTACCAAAAATATAAATTACGGTAATTTTACATCACTGGAAGTGAATCATTTTTTTTTTCCTTTTTTTTATTGAGACTCTGATTCAGATTCTATATATTGCAGAGCAGAGTCTATGTGAACCTAAAAATTAACACAGGTAGAGGCCTAGTTGTACCGTATACATATTCAAAAATTTAAAGGCGAACAATATGAGCCAAATTTATTAGGGACGAACTTAAGTTGGAGTGAGGTGGAAATCGTAATATAGTGCCCTTGGATTTTGGAGAGTTACACATTCTGTCAGAATGTGAAGGAAGGTTTTGTCTTCCTTCTCACAGAATCTGCACCTACTATTTTCTACTACCTCAGTGTACTAAGGTTTCCTGTGAGTTGGCAATGCCCAGTAAGGATCCCTGTTACAATACGTACCCTGTTCTTGTAAAATTGATAAAAATATAGGGTATTCTATTCATAAAATCATGTCGATGACGTCATTACTCGAAGATGATTTATTCTGTAGATTAAATTATGAGAAAATATAGTAAATTAAAACAAAAAGTTTATTTATTTTTTTAAGTCTTGGTCACATTTTAGTTTTCTTTTTTATTTATTTACTTCTATATTATTTCCTAAATATACGTACTTATCAAAGTGCCAACCTTATTATTTAAACAGTATCAACCAAAAAAATTATTTAACATTTTCTAAAACAAAAATGTTTATTGGAGCATTTTATTTTCTACGGCGCCCCGTATTATTTGTCGCGTTCTTAATCGAAAATAGTTCATTTTAATTTTTAGACTGACTCGAGTCGAGAGACAAAACCACCAAGCCTCCTAGTACGTATATATAATCAACTGCAACGTTGCCAAACCAAAAGCGCGCAGCGAATAGCTTAAGGCGCCCAGTTGACATGTAACATTAAACATCTTATACACAGCGAAATGTATATTAGCAGCGCACCAAGCGGCGAACGCCTGAACTAATATTTTATACAGGATCAAAAAACGGCTCAAATGGGCGTCCTCGAGATTTTTGTGTTAATGGGTGTTTTAGGGTGTCTACATCATCTGGAACAATTTTCAATGGGTTGTCACTGGGGATCCGTATATCGGAAGCCCAGTAACAGCGGAGTCTCAGTGAACCTGAAATTTAACATGGGGGGAGGCTCAGTAATACTTTGTAGATATATATATATATATATATATATATATATATATATATATATATATATATATATATATATATATATATATATATATATATATCCGTTTATAAAGTCGGACTATCATCTTATTTTGATATAATTTTCTTCCGATTATGATGTTATGTAGGTATATTGAGCTATATTCCAAGTTTTACTTCTGATAGAGTTTATATATACTTATAAAAATGAAGGAAAGTAAACATCGAGTTACAGTTCGATCATGACATCGAAAAAGCATGAGTTACATGCTCATTTTAATATAATTGTGACATCAGATATTTATTTAAATGAAAAATCTACTAAAGTTAATTTAGATATAGAGAATTTTTAACTCAAATTAAAATATAATACTTTTGAATATTGATAAAAAAATAATAAATTAAAAAACAATTATAATAGAAATCAATTATTTGTACATTTGAAAATACCATTCTGTAGTGCCAGTGATATTGGACCTATTCATACTAATGGATCACCACCCTGTATAGTAAAAACCTACATTTATTTCATTATTTATTATTTTTTAGTTGAGAAAGCTAGGAGACGACGCCACAGATGGAGTGCCAGCCCTCGAAGATGGCGCCAAATACAACGCCATCGAACCAACATCGAAATGGGTTTCGGTGCCGAACCCAGAAGGCATCGTCAGGGAAGTTAAGGAACGTAAAGTTATATCCAGAGAGGAGACAGAAGAAGTCAAAGAGACGGAGGACGTGCAACATTTGGGAGACATCACAGATAACGTGAGTACCATTTTTATTTCAACAGTTTAACTATTTAAAAATAACGCGGAATAAGAGTTCTCAAGATATTTATTGAGAATTATTTAATTTTATCGAGTTTTATTGAGTTTTATTGAATTTTATCGAGTTTTATTGAGTTTAATTGAGTTTTATTGAGTTTTATTGAGTTTTATTGAGTTTTATTGAGTTTTATTGAGTTTTATTGAGTTTTATTGAGTTTTATTGAGTTTTATTGAGTTTTATTGAGTTTTATTGAGTTTTATTGAGTTTTATTGAGTTTTATTGAGTTTTATTGAGTTTTATTGAGTTTTATTGAGTTTTATTGAGTTTTATTGAGTTTTATTGAGTTTTATTGAGTTTTATTCAGTTTTATTGAGATTTATTGAGTTTTATTTAGTTTTATTTAGTTTTATTGAGTTTTATTGAGTTTTATTGAGTTTTATTGAGTTTTATTGAGTTTTATTGAGTTTTATTGAGTTTTATTGAGTTTTATTGAGTTTTATTGAGTTTTATTGAGTTTTATTGAGTTTTATTGAGTTTTATTGAGTTTTATTGAGTTTTATTGAGTTTTATTGAGTTTTATTGAGTTTTAGTGAGTTTTAGTGAGTTTTATTGAGTTTTATTTAATATTATTGAGTTTTATTGAGTTTTATTGAGTTTTATCTAATTTTATCGAAATTTATTCGAAATTTATTCGAAATTTATTCGGAATTTATTCGGAATTTATTCGGAATTTATTCGGAATTAATTCGAATTTTATTCGAATTTTATTCGAATTTTATTCGAATTTTATTCGAATTTTATTCGAATTTTATTCGAATTTTATTCGAATATTATTCGAATTTTATTAATACTTTATTGGAATTTTATTCGAGTTCTATTCGAATTTTATTCGAATTTTATTTGAATTTTACCAAATTTTACCAAATTTTACCGATTTTACCGAAGACTTTTATAGAATTTTATCAAATTTTTATCAATTTTTATTGAATTTTATCGAATTTTATCGAATTTTATCGGATTTTATCGGATTTTATCGAATTTTATCGAATTTTATCGAATTTTATCGAATTTTATCGAATTTTATCGAATTTTATCGAATTTTATCGAATTTTATCGAATTTTATCGAATTTTATCGAATTTTATCGAATTTTATCGAATTTTATCGAATTTTATCGAATTTTATCGAATTTTATCTAATTTTATCGAATTTTATCGAATTTTATCGAATTTTATCGAATTTTATCGAATTTTATCGAATTTTATCGAATTTTATCGAATTTTATCGAATTTTATCGAATTTTATCGAATTTTATCGAATTTTATCGAATTTTATCGAATTTTATCGAATTTTATCGAATTTTATCGAATTTCATCGAATTTTATCGAATTTTATCGAATTTTATCGAATTTTATCGAATTTTATCGAATTTTATCGAATTTTATCGAATTTTATCGAATTTTATCGAATTTTATCGAATTTTATCGAATTTTATCGAATTTTATCGAATTTTATCGAATTTTATCGAATTTTATCGAATTTTATCGAATTTTATCGAATTTTATCGAATTTTATCGAATTTTATCGAATTTTATCGAATTTTATCGAATTTTATCGAATTTTATCGAATTTTATCGAATTTTATCGAATTTTATCGAATTTTATCGAATTTTATCGAATTTTATCGAATTTTATCGAATTTTATCGAATTTTATCGAATTTTATCGAATTTTATCGAATTTTATCGAATTTTTATCGAATTTTATCGAATACAAAATTTTATATAATTTTATCGAATTTATTGAGTTTTATCGAGTTTTAACGATTTTTTTGGGTTTTATTGAATTTTATCGACTTTTATCGAATTTTATCGGTTGTAACAGAATCTGACGTAAAATTATGTGAGGTGAGATGTCGCTTTTGGCGAGATGCTTTCAAACGCTTCCGCTGTCTAAACCGAACATAGAAAAGTAGAAATATCAAGAGTGGACAGTCAGAGCGAGAAACTAAAATAGAGAGAGATATAGCTACACTTCAATTTAAAGAAATTTAAAATGGATTCCATAGGTGGCGGCTGAGTATTTAAGTAGTATGTTGTCATCAGATGATTTTATTACAGTTACTGTGTACGTGATTTTGTTCGGAGTTTAGTAATAAAATTGAAAACTTTATGATTTTTATGACTTCCAATGTGGTAAATTTATAAATATTTCTCATTTCTATAACTTATCGATCGATATCCATATTTCAGGTAGTCGGTACCAGTACCTTTTTTCGACGACACGCAGTATTGCATATATATTATACCTATTATATTAAAAGACGAACGTTTCTAGAATTCTAGAGCGACAAAGCTGTCAGTCAATGACAGTTAGTAGATTTTTGAGGTGGTATTTTGGATATTAATCTTGGAAAAAAGTATTTTATCTCAAGCTTTATCCGAGAAGCAGTAACTACTGAGTTTTTAAGTTCCATACAAAATTCTACTTTCTATTTTCTTGTTTATTATTTATCTAGTTAATTGTTTATCATAATTAATTATTCCGAATTCCTTGGTATCGTCACTGATTACTCATTCAGAAGCACTCGAAATTATCATATGCGTCAATCTTGAAACAAACAAAAGTGCAGCAGGCGTGGGCTTCTTTGAAAAACATCGAAAATACTTTAGCTATATGTATAAAAAGATGCAGAGGCGGCCATAAAAAAATCGAACGATAAAGAAATTCGCCTACTCATTAAATTTTTAAAGTAAATTAATCAGGGTGTTAATTTTCTCTAATCTGTTTTATTTAAAATTTAGCTTAGTTATTATGTTTGTCTTTACATTTTCCCCTTGATAGCTTTATGTTTCTATAGTGACTTTGATCCAAGCTTCACTGCACAATCTGTAGTTTTATTAGAGGAAATGTGACTGTGAAAATGCTCACATTCTTGAACCAAATCGTCGTAATATAGATAAAATAGGTACAATAACAGTAGGTACCTAGGATTAATAATTTTCGATATGAATGAGTTTCTATAGGGATTTAACGTATTAGTATAAAAAAAACATGAGAAAACTAGTAAACTCGTTTGACTTTTATCCCCTAAACTCGAGTGAGCGTCCTCTGAAATCTGCCGCCCCTAGGACACTGCCGCCCCTAGGCCGCGGCATATACGGCCTATTGACAAATCCAGGACTGCCTTCATGGTTATTCCCTATAATTTTTTGATTTATACACGATCTTGGCGTGTACAATCTCGTAAAACACAAGATACAATTATGTCCTAAAGGTATTTCAACTAACACTATATAAAAACGAAACGAACTTAATAAAAGTATTAAAAGTAATTTTAAAAAACCGACTTCAAAATCGTACAGATACCGTCACCACATCTTAACCAAACCTATATGGGACCACCCCTGAGGTACCCCCTTACTAACAAAAAAAGAATCATAGAAATTGGACAAGGTGGCAAAAAATTACCGCTAAACATACATTAAAAATGAAGAGTTTGTTTTCTAACGGACCCAATTATTAGATTGTGACCAATTTAATATGTGACCACTCCTGAAGTACCCCCTTTCTGACAAAAAAAGAATCATTGAAATCGGACACCGTGTTAAAGAATTATCGCTGAACATACATACTTTTTTGAAGTCGGTTAAAAATCCGAAAAATAAAACGCATACCATTAAAGTTATAAGTAAATGCCACAAAAGACATTAGGATGGTAACAATATGTCGCAGGCTAAGGGCACAGGAGATACTAATAGATTTTTAGTAAAATAAATTTTGTTATACATAAAATAATGGTATGCCATTATTTTCCATCCATCCAGCCTTCTACAAATGTAATATTATCAAACAAAAATTACATTATGTATAATGTGTTGCCTACCTTCTGAAACATTATACGATGTAATTTATCATTTTTCACAAATATTTTGTGTTTTTTGTACTGAAAATTGGCCATAACAACAAAACAGTCTGATAGTAACTGGACATAATTTAATTAAAGCAATAAAATACAATTTTATCTTAACAACGCACTTTAACATTTTAAATAATAAGAATGTAATTTAGACATTTACAGGGGTGCGCAGAAAATAGTATAATGAATGTTATAAAGAGCATGTTACGAATGTATGGGAAAGTTACAACACGCATTACGTACTATACTTTACCTACGACTAATTACACAGGTAAATATGCGTGTAAATACTTTGTTTAGACTTTAGATCATTTCCACATCGAAGGAATTGTATTGGATTTAAGACAGATATTTATTAAAATAGAGGGCGAGGTAATACTGCTGAACAGTTTTTTAAACGAACGCAGGAATATGATCCGGTCCTGTGGTACGTTTAGGTTTAATGTTTTTTAAAGCATCCTGGACCTGAGTTTCAGAAAAATGAGTTATATGAAGCTGAGATTGCTGGAAGTCTTTTAATGATATGTTTAAACCCTTGGAAGCGACATAAGATTGGCCAAAATATTCCGCAAAGCTTTCTAGTATTTCTGTTGGATTATTTAATGTTTTATTTTCAAAACTCATGGTGCTTGCAACTTTACCTTGGCATTGTTTATTATTAACGTATGTCCAAAATTTATTTGAATTTGCTGAGATTTCAGATTCAAGATTTGCTATGTAATTTTTATAAGCTTCAGATACAAAAGTTTTAATTTCAGCTCTAATGAGCTTAAATTCTTAAGAGCTTGAACATTATTCTCATTCTGATATAAGCGATGAAGTTCAGACTTTTTCCGAAGTTTCTTAATAATAGAACCATTAAACCACGTAATAGTAGTTTGTGCAACAAGATTGAATATGATGGCCATATCTCACGAATACAAATACGCACTCCGTAGGTGAAGTGCTCAATCATAATAGTGCGATACTCTAAATCCATTTGAGTTGTACAGTATATTTTTTCTACGACCCTTTATTGAAAATTTACAAACTATTTTAGGTTAAGATAAAATAATTAATTTAAAAATAATTTATGATTTT